AACCGTGTAATAGAATTGTGCTTAAATCACAAAAGATTTAGAATGATTCAGATGTTTTGCTTCAATCACACAAAAGCTACCCAACCTTTTTGATAAGAGTAGGTTTAAGGAATACTTAGCGATTTTCTTGGTCTACATCAGATGTTATGCTTTATCTTGGAGCAGTAGCATGACTTTGTCTCTGGGGGACATTTACTGAGGAGACCTCTGGGCACTGACTTTGAGCCACGAGGCTGTGTAGTTTGGCTCGGCTCAATATGGTCTCATTTGTAAAGAACATAATGGCTCTGTGTTAATTCCAGACTAATGTTGTAAATTCATATCAGAGCTCAGACAGAACTAGGTCTGCTCTGGATTAGATATACCCCGAGCAAACAGACCACTACTTCAATCACTTTGCAGCAGGATGACGAGATGTAAAACGAGAGTACATCAGAGTATACAGATGAGGGCTGATGTGTGTCTGCTTTGCAGACATCCAACTTGGTTGGGTTTCTTTTAGCCAGTCTGCTTCTAAGTACTTTATGGCATTTGTGCAAGTAGACTTGGCAGTGAACTAGTCCGCCCAACACCTCATGTAGAAATAAATGAAGATCTATGCATGCATACAGCAAACGTACAATTAGACCTCCATCCCCACAGACAGTATTAGAAACTCGGATCAGAACTAGGACGGTGGAAGCTAACACACACTAAGAGCTTACTTTGCTCAGACAACATGGACACAACTTTTACCTTGGGTTTATGGAACTTGAACTCATGACCCCAGCACCCCAACAGAGTACCTCAAGAAATATGGTGATGGGTTTTTTCCCAGACCTTCAAAGCACATGTGAACTGGAGAACCAAACATCTGAAACCCTGCAGCAGCTAGTGGAGAACCAGGACGAATGCTATACTGCTCTTTTTGAATCCATGTTTTGATGACCAGAGCCACCTTTTGGGCACCCTAGAGTAAAACTCCTCAAGGGTTGAGAAGCATGATCTCCAACAGAGGGATCACACTTCTCACTGTCCTTATACCAGTCAGCAAGTGTAGCCCCCAGGGGTGGTCTGCTCTTCGGGAGGTTGGAGAGTAACCCTAACCCGAATGCCCGTTCTGTTCCAGGCCAATAGCTACACACACACCCTGACCCCCGGTCAGAGATTTTTCGTTAAAGAATTGAGCATCTGGAACTCCTCCATCCCCACACACTCAGATGGAGAAACGGCAGCATCCTTCCTAGTCTGAACTGAGATGGTATTGTAGCGACATGAATGGCCTCATATTTGTGACCCAAAGGTCACACTTCCCCAGCTAGGTCGAGCT